AGATTAAAGACGCACCAATTGGCCAGCGATGTCAGCTGGGACCTCCCACAGCATGTCTTGATAGTCTTGGAGGCGCTCGACGGGCAGGTGCTTGGCAAGAATATAGTCGACGGCCGCCGTCAGTGAGGCCACATAGGCGGCCACGTCCCAAGGAAACGCGGGGTAGCGAGAAAAGAAATCGGTCTAGAAAGAAATTTTCAGGCCGAAAAACATTCAGTGGCGCGTATAAACACGCACCATGATACCCCGCAGAGTATTGATAATGGGCAGGACGACTTGAGCCTCGGAGTTTTCAATGTGGTCGGCGTCGAAGTAGAAAATAATGTCGGTACAGGCCTGGTTGGGCCAAAATGCAGACCAAGGCGTGCGGGGATCGTCAGGGGCGACCAAAATGATGGAGTCGGGGTCGTCCTCTGAGGCAGCAGCGGCGGTTTTTCGTTTGGGGGCCATCCAGGAAGCACAGAGAAAGCAAGGGAAGAGCGGAGAGCAGTCAAGACAAGTCGAATAAAGAGAGGGCGCCAGGAGATGGTGGTGGGGGAGAGAAAGGGGGATTTGAAACTCCGCCCTGACTCGTCGCCGCTATAAGAGAGACTCTAAGCGAGAGAAGCCAGGGCGTGTGAAGGAACTCCAAAATAGATCCGCGGGTGCGCAGCTGGAGAATCTCCAGGAAGGCGCAGCCCTGCAGTACCTGAAATGAGGAGTCACGTGCATCATGCTTCTTTGCGCAAAGTCACGTTCTCGCGCAGCCTCAAGCCAGACTAGTCTATAGCAGCCGAGGTTTAGAGCGCTAGACCGGCGCTTAAGCGATTGGCGGTGTCTAGACGGGCAGATTTGAGTGGACACTCAAAATATCGTCTAGACGGCAAAAAATTTGATCGAGTTCCCGAAAAGGAAGTGATCGCACGTCTCGAAGCGGAAGCATTTATACGCCGTATACAAACGTGGATCTTGCCTAGTTTGGAAGTAACAAGTTGAACTGTGGGAAATATCAGTCAAAGTAACGACGTTGGGCAGGAATATTGACAAACTGTATGGGAATGCAAGAAAGACCTTATAAAAATTATTTGAACGTTGCCTGGAAGATGCCATTCCGGTAGCTGCTAAACTGGGAAGCAGGACGCTGACCACAACCGGGGACGGTTGAGATTTAGTAAAGAGGAGATGAAACGGCGTGTCATCGAATACGCTGCCATCTGGCTATTATTTGCGCTTTTTAGCAATAGTCTGTCTAGACGCTACTAAGTAATAATACAGCCGTCTAGACGGGTCAATATACCTACTAGAACTCTGTTCGGTGGTACAAAGGAGAGTCAGAGTGAGCTCCGGCTGCTGACTGTAGTATTAGTACAGTGCTAGGCGCGGTTACAAGCGTTACACTGTGCGAAGTACACATACCAAGGAGGTCTATACGGGGTCTAGTACCTCAGAATGTCAATTACCCTATCAAAGGAACCAACGACTGCACAGGAAAGCCATAGTCTTCACTAGCAGGGCAAGCTACATGATATAGGGTCTGTCTAGACGAGTCGACGCACTAAGTAACAGGCGTCTAGACGAGCATAGCACGACTCTATAGGCTGTCTAGACGGCAAAGTACCGCGTCTAGACGGTGCAAGGAGCTTAGAGACATAAGGAGGGGTCGCCCCAAAGTGCCCCTCTAGCCAGTCAGGTGACCAACGCGACGCGGTCAGCGTTGGGGCGCCACAAGCACAAACATGACGAAGGAATTCTTGTTGAGATGTAGCCATGGGCCGACGTGTATATGTCTAGTCCGTGCGCTATCGGGGTATCCGAGCGGATTGGTGAGCAGTCCGGCGTCGGGGGACAGAGTTTTGCAAATTACAAGGTTCGGGAGCTGTCTAGACGACCCGAACTGGCCATATACCCGAACTGGGCCCCCAAGATTGTCATCTATATGACTTTCTGGCAAGCCCAGAGCCAGCCTAGACCCGGTTAGCCTTCCGAGGATGACCGCATGACCAGAACATCGGCCTGTTTTACTCATTTCTCTTTACCTCATCTCTTTCTCTCAGAATCGTATATAAAGCCTCATAAAATACCGCAACAGACCAGTGTATGCCCCGCTCATCGTTACGACGATTCGGGTGTGCTCAGGCCACTTAGCGGAGATTAAAGTACCATCTCTCTCTGTGTAACAGTAGTCTATAAAATCGCAGCGTTGCTTGTTGGATCCAGAACATTTGTGTGAACCTATAAGCAAAGCTTCGCGTTGGGAGGTCGTGAGCGGCGACTGCCTCCACGTATAAATCAGGACCGCACGCACATTAGAAGGCTTGAGAACTGCACTAAGCGTCGCGAAGTGGACTCTAGCAGGGCATCCGCATTGGGTGACCAGGAAACGCCTCGCTAAAACCGACCACGCCCGGCACAGCACTTTGGGAGAACCCTGGGACAACCACCGGTCGTTTAGCTGTGTTGGATAGTACTTTGAGGTCCTTAATAAACTCAAGTGTACGGAAAAGATCTTGGATTCAAAGGAGTCCGAGTCTGCCGCTAGTTCTCGAGAGGCTAGCTGTGCACCAGAGGCCGTCTAGACGAAGCAGCATAGCCCTTGAACGGGATTTTCAGTCCAAATCTACACCTCCTCGCCTAGGCACCTGTACTTCGGTGCGATTCCTAGTAACAATCCTTTATATATAAACCTGCACATCCTTCCCTGGAAGTCTTGTTTAGAAGCCAAGCAGCCAAGCCAACTAGCGTCTAGACGCTGCATTTTGAGACGTTTTGAACGCATAGAACAACTATACGTGCTCTAGACATCAGATCCGCAGTCGCATACTACGACTCAGGACCCGAACTCATCGAGGAAGACGCGCTACGTCCCCCGTGAGTCAGTTTAGATAGGATTGGGTTGGTGTGTGTGTGTTTTGTGTGTGGTGTGTTAGTTGTTCAGCTAGCCCGCATTCAGAGCTTAGTTTAGCCCATTCCGTAGTCAGCGCATCTTGCCCGTTTCACCGCGTCATCGGTCCCGACACCTTGTCCCCCCCACCGCGTCCTCGGTCCCGACATCGTGTCCCCCCACCACGTCGTCGGTCCCGACACCGTGTCCCCCCCCGGCGTCCTCGGTCCTGACACCACCCGTCGCCACGGCTTCCAGCCTGAAGCTCGAACTCGCCAAGAAACAAGCCTCCAGGGTAGTCTTGCGGCATGCCCAGGAGAACTACGACAAGGCTTTTGACGAAGTCCAGGCGTCGGAGTTGGAGATGGGCGTGGCTGACCGTTGGGAGCCAACCTCGCCAGAGTGGGCAGAAGCGGCCCATCTTGTGAGCACCCGTCGGTACCGTCTAGCCCTGCTCAAGCTGGAACGTCTTGTGATTCAACGGATGTTCGAGCTGACCAAGATGAACCTTTCCCAGACAGGTCAAGTCTTTTCGTTCACTTTACTGATCGTCTCACCTTATTTTGGCCCTGTAGGATACAAGTTACGGAAGCACATTACCAAGGCTCTTCAAGCCAGGTCCCAGGCAATCAGAAATGCGTTGAAGACCTACAACGGCGCCGCGGCCTCCATGGTCCCTTCGGGTCGGAAGCTGGAGTGGCACGAGGTGGTAGAGTATGCCTTTCTCGCCGACTTCGACCTCCTGAAGGATCCAGAGGCCTTCAAGGAGGTCCAGCCGTGGGCCACGCCGCCTGCTCGAGTGCTGCTCGACAAATACTTCAAGATTGAGAGGACCAAGGAGGAAATCATTCGGTGCAACATTGAGATCCGCCGGGTGATCACCGCCATCCGGGAAGAGAAGATCTTTTTGACTCGGAAGGAAGCGGAGCTCGAGGAGACAAACCCCCAGCTTGCGTGGGCAGTTAGGGAGTATCGGCTTCAGCGGGAGAGATACGCCGATACCCATCTCAAACGGTTCAAAAAGCTCACCGAGAAAGCAGGTCCCCGATTCACAGGAACCCTGACGCCCGGTGTTTGGCTTCCACCAACTCCACGGCCCACTCCGATGGAGGGTGTAGATGAATCTGGACGACGGGAGGCCGAGGCCTGAGCAGCCGAATTGGCAGAAGAGATGCGTGCTTCGAGACCCCCCGAGGAGGAAGAGCTAGAAGATGAGCATACGGAGGAAGCGGAGGCCGAGCAGCTTGCCGAGGACATTCATACACTCTATATCCTATCTACCGAGTAGTTGTACAATATTCCTTATATCGTGTAGGGGGGACGGTCCGTAGAGGGACATTGTATATATCTAGGGAGGGACTGTCCCTTTTGTCCCAACTACCCATGTGGTAGCCAAGTTCCTAGCAATCGATGCCTGTATGGTGTAACTGGTAACACACCTGGTCTAACTTCCAGTTCTGTATATTCTTCACAGGTGACGCGAGTTCGACTCTCGCTACAGACATGGCCTGGCCTGCGGGTTTCTTTCTTTTTGTGTGTGGTCTGCTACATGTCCTACCATCTGGCGACATATTTCCAACATGTTGATTGTCCATATGGTGTACGTAGTAACAACACTAGTTGGGTATTTCGTCGTCCTCCAGGTGCTGTGAGTTCAACTCTCACTATGGACATGTACTGCTCGATCATTTTTTTCTTGTAGTTGATCGTACATACCCTCCCACATGGAAACATCTCCAACAAATTTAATGTCCGTATGGTGTAAGTGGTAACATACCTGCCCTCTGTCGCATATTACCTCCAGCGTTTCACAGGTGACGCGAGTTCGATTCTCGCTACGGACGTGGACTCTGCAAATCTTTGTTTTTCTTTCTGACCGTTTACTGACATCTGTCTCTCGTTTTTCTTTCTCATTCTTATGGCATATGTCGTCACCTGAGTCCCACCCCACTGATATCTTGCCAATGAACTGTGTGATGTCCCCCTTACAGTCCCCCCTGCTGACACCTGGTGTGTTTCGCCTCAGTGCACCTGTCCCCCCTGCCGCGTCCCCCTCCCCACATACACCTCCCTTGTGCCCCCTCACAGTCCCCCCCATCGATACCTGGTGCGTTTCGCCTCTACGAGTGTACCTGTCCCCCCTCCCGCGTCCCCTTCCCCACACATACCTCCCTTGTCCCCTCTCACAGTCCCCCCCCATCGATACCTGCTGCGTTTCGCCTGAGTGCACCTGTCCCCCCTCCCGTGTCCCCTTCCCCACACATACCTCCCTTGTCCCCTCTCACAGTCCCCCCCATTGATACCTGGTGCATTTTGCCTCTGAGTGCCCATGTCCCCCCTCCTAAGTCCCTCTCCCCGTCGATAGCTCATGCCTGTCCCTTCACGTCCCCTTCAAGTGCACCTGTCCCCCTCCTTGGTCCCTCTCCCCGTCGATAGCTCATGTCTGTCCCTTCACGTCCCCTTCAAGTACACCTGTCCCCCTCCTAGGTCCCTCTCCCCGTCGATAGCTCATGTCTGTCCCTTCACGTCCCCTTCAAGTGCACCTGTCCCCCTCCTGGGTCCCTCTCCCCATCGATAGCTCATGTCTGTCCCTTCACGTCCCCTTCAAGTGCACCTGTCCCCCTCCTAGGTCCCTCTCCCCGTCGATAGCTCATGTCTGTCCCTTCACGTCCCCTTCCCACCGTCACCTACCCCCCTCCCCCTCCTCGTCCCCCCCCCTCCCTCCACGAAAACCGCCTTAAGAAGGACATTGTCCCTCGTCCCTCCCCGAAATCTCGGTGGTGTCCCTAGGGGGGCAAACAGTCCCTCGTAGGCTTGTTAGCCTGTTTTCGTCCCCTTGAGAACAGGCTAACAAGCCTTGTTATTCGGGCAGGACAGGTGGGGTTACAAGCTCGTGACGATTCTCCCTCTGTATCTACTGTAATTCTAGAGTCTAGTTGAGTCATGACTAAATTGTTCCATAGTATTCCAGGTTCTTCTTCTTCCTTCCTACTGACTCCCTCTGAATTCCAAACCTCGGTGATGTGCCCGAGTGCACCTCCCCCAATGATAACATCCCAACACGCGACTTCCTGGCTCCACCGGAGAGCCACACACGAGCTGGTGTTTCATCGCAGTTGAAAGACAGGGTACTCGGTCTATTGGACGAAATTGCCCTCGATGCCCAATGCCACATATTTTGACATCCATTGATGAGCGCGGATTTTCTTTGCGCTTTTACTTACCTCAGCGCCAACATTACACCACCCTATTGATCTTTTCCTCCCCTGCTATCCCTAATTCCCAAGTAAGTTGAAATCATCGTATACATCGCTCTTATCGTCTGTTTTCCTCTTCCACTTCTCGATCTCTGGAACTGTATTCACCCAATTGATGGGAGGCAGTATTCATCTCGTGAAGTTGGAGTGCGGCGGCCTTCCTAGGTAAACGAACACTTTCACTCGATCCATAATATTTTTACTATATATTTGGAGGTAGTACATACACTACTTATTAAACGTGTTGAGACAAAGAATCGCAAGACCCAGAGGCGACAGAGACGCGGCACGGAAGGACAGAGGATAGACAAAAGAGGCAGGATAACGGGACACTATACAGGTGACATTTTTGACTCGGTACTCCTATGCTGCGAATTCGGCGAGTCATCTTCGAGATGAGTCGTGATATTCACAGTGATACGCCGCATGGGCATGCCTGTGGTGGGGACGTCGTTGACCTTGGTTCCGCTGGAGGAAAGCTCTTGCGAGCGCACGATCACGCAAACGGTGATCAGTACTAGTCCGAAAGTTATGCCCTACAAGGTTAAATTCAACGCCGACACTCAGAATGAAGCGGAATGGGCGCACGACGAGGGGCGTGAAAGTTTCAAGGATGATGAACTGAGCGTTGTAGTTGGCCGCGTACAAGGCGAGCATGAAGATTTGCACGAAGAGGTACAACGCGGCGGACTCGATGAGGATAAGGATAACGTGAACGAACACTCCTTGCCCCAACCGGAACTGTGCCGACGCCCGGTCTGTGAGCCAGAGACGCAGGGCCATTAGACCGGTGGTGAGTATGTTTTGGGTGACGGCCTGCCAACGTTTGAGGATAGTTCATCCAGGCTTTAGGAGAAGAGGGATACGCACAACAGAGTAGAATGTGATTCCAGGAAGAAAGAGACGGAGCAAAGATCGAGGTGTTGGGGTCGATTGTGACGAACCCGAGAGTGACCATGATCCCGGAAACTACGTAGCAGCCACGTCAAGCAGGGCCAACGAAAGAGTGAGCATTACTCACTGGTACTGTCGAGGAATAGACAACATGGGAGGATAATGAATTTGTATTGTCGATTCCACAGATGCCAGCACCGATAGATCTTGGTTGATGAAGTTGAAGATTTTGAACGAAAGAAATTGAAACCAAATACTCACCGCCATAGAATCCCCCACCAGGGTCTGTATGGTGAACCTAGTTAGTACACCGTGAGTTTTGACGATCGAAATCGGTTGAAAATCACCCTCACAATACGTCCTTGAAAATGTGACTCCCTGAAAATTTGGGATGAGAAAGAACATCACTCAATGAATAAAAATGGTCTTACATGCGGGAATAACACCAAGGAATGCTAACGGTCCTCCAGGTGCGTCCTGGAAGTCAACGAATCCACGGACCATGCGGTAGCAGTTCATGGCTACGAGGCACAGGTGAGATTTAGCATCTCCCAGAAACAAAGCTTCTCACAAACGTACGCGGTAGCCACCGTAAACATGACTCCCGAGCTCCAGAACATTATCTAAAAACGAATTTGTGTCATTGTGCGCTCGCAAAAACATGAATCGGACAACATACACGATGATGCCCATTCAGGCTCCGATGACCATTGAGGTAAACACCGAACCAGAACAAGCAGAAATATATGCCTGCGATGATGCGTTGTCACAAACACCTCTGAACCTTTCGGAATGCGTACCATACAAGACGGCCTTGAACGCACAAAAGCCAGACTCGGAACCAAGGGGACATCGGGGTTCTAAAATCGGAAGGGGGGTCGAAAAGTTTTTTTCAGCCTTGGTTGGACTCCCCCCTCCCCCCCCCTGCCTTATCGGAAAGGTGTCTCCAACCCCTGGCGCCGGGCCGCTCCCGCCGGACTTTCCGCTACCTACTGAACCTCCCTCGGACAACTACCACCACTTGGTTTTGATACCTAAGGTACATGTTATCCTTTCTAAACCTATCTAAAGTGCTACAAGACTTTCATTAGGCTTGCAGAAAACTTTTGAACCTGCTCCGGTACCTTGCCGGCACCGCCAACCAAGCACTTTTGGTTGAAATTATCATTTCAACACCTTCCAAGGTGAGTGGGAAGCTAAATTCATGATTTCTGCCTCCTAGGGCCTCTCACATGCCTCTACTAGCATTTTTACACCCGCTGAAAAGTTATAGTACAAAGTTTTTTTCGGCCTTGGCCAGACCCCCCCCCCCCTCCCCCCATCCGAAATTTTAATGCCAACGTCCCCTTGCTCGGAACGACGTCAAGTTGAAGAGATGGGGCATACTGTACCAAGTTGTAGGGAGACAACGCCCTGAGCACCGTGACAAGTCCGTTGCCTATTTTTAGGCAACGGAGGGGACCGTGAGCGTGACCGTTGCTTGAGGAGGCAACCAGATTATTTTTAAACACAATTTATCCGTGGTATTCCGGCACTATGGGTCTTCCTTGGTTTGAGGAGAGGTTTTGGATGGACTCCTGGCCATTAGAACTCATTCTTAATGTCTGCAAAAAAATTCAACTATTTTTCCTTCAATGTCACGATTTTAAGGCAACCGACCGTACCGTTACCGTGACACGCCGAAAAAAGGGCAACGCAACGGAGCTCCCGTTACCCGTGACCGTTGCCTCCCTACAACTTGGTACAGTACCTCAAGCCACGCAGACACAATGAAGCTCGTTAGCAGGGGGAACTGGTGAAAGGCCGTGGTGGGATCCTTGCGAGTCGGAAAGTGAAGGCGATCCTCTTTTTAAAGCGTTCTCGCTGGTTCCAGGTCCGTGCGGGGTAAGTGTCATCCGGGCCCCGAGCCCGGAGATTAAACGGTCCCATCTGACGCTCTCATTGTGCCTAGGGTCTTCAATCAGAAATCAATAGTTTACCGCCAGGGATTTTCGCCCGACGACCCTGACTCGATCCGGTCGCGGAGAAAACAGAAAAAATACCAACGTGAGCACCAGTGCAGTAAATGACCCTTACTTACATTGATTTGGCGGGGGTAAGCCTCCAAACCAATTGCAAAGCTCTCTTGTCGTTCCGGCCAAAAATTGCCTAAATTAACCAGTAAAGATCTGCACAGTCGTAAGCGAGAGTTTGATGGTGGCGGAATGGGATCATGAACCCTGGCGAAACCTTGAAGTGAACAACAAGCGAGGAGCGATGTCCTGAGGTACACAAGGATCAAGCAGCCATCTTTGCGCTCACTGTCCCATATGCATCTGCAGGACGGACCGGAAGTAGCGCTCCGAGAGTCGGTGTCCTCTTCCCTGCGTTGCTCTTTTCCGTCGAGCCCAAGCAATTATACATCTTCCTTCCTTCCACATCATTTCGTACACCGCTAGTGGCGCTCAAAAATAAATTTCTCCGCTTTCGTGTCATTTATAAGTTGCCAGGGGTGAAAATCAGGTCGGCCATACACAGTATTAGTAGGGGACAATCAAAGCCCGCCTATTTTGGGCACGTGGGATCGATCTTGGAGTCAGGAACTGGCCCAGACAGCGGCCATCCCTCTGCATCAGGCGGGATTGCCGTCGATATAAGTGAGGGCGATCTGGAACTGAAACTTCCAGAAGTGACTTCACTTCCACTACTTTGGT